AAAAAAAAAAACTAGAAAAAGTGAGCTAAATAAACCAAAAGCATACAGAAGAAAGGAATAATAAAGAACAGAAATCAGTGAAATTGAAGACAGAAAATCAACAGAAAAAAAATCAGTGAGATTCCATGTGTTTTTTAAAATAAAATCAATAAAATTGATAAACTCACAAAACCAGCAATGATAAACATAGAGAGGATGCCAATTTCCAGTATTAGGGACAACAGAGAGGATTTCTTTAAAAGGATAAAAAAAAGAATATTATGAATAACTTTATGCCACTTAATTTAGCAAACTAGATGAAATGAATGAATTCTTGGAAAAACACAAATTACCAAAGCTCAAAGTAGAAGAGCTAGAGAACCTGAATATTCACATATCTTTTAAAGAACTTGAATCTGTAGTTCAAAACGTTGTCACAAAGAGAACTTCAAGGCCAGATGACCTCACCGGTGAGTTCTATCAAACATTCTACCAAACATTTCAGAAAAATGAAGAGGAGGGATTGCTTCCCAACTACATCGTTGATGTGAGAATGACACTGACATCAGAACCAGATAAAGGTGTTATGAGAACAAAAATAAGTCTACAGACCAACGTCCCTCCTGAACACAGACACAAACATTCTCACTAAAATTTTAGTAAATTAAACCTAAGGATAAATAAAAAGGATAATATTTTGTGAGCAGGTGGGATTTATCCTGAAAGTTAAAGGCTAATTCAAGATTCACAACGTTCCCAATTCAGTCAACCTAATTCACCATACCAGCAAACGGGAGAAGAAAAATCATGTAATTATCACGATAGATGCAAAAAAAGCATTTAACAAAATTCTATATTCATTCGTGACAGAAACTCTCAGCAAAGTAGAAGGGGGGGGTCTTCCTCAACCTAATAAGGGCATCTTTAAAAAATTTACAGCTAACAGCATACTTTATGGAAAAAGAACACTTTCTCCCTGAGATTGGGAGTTACTCAAAGATGCCCGCTCCAGCACTTTGTGGAGATCCATGCCAGTGAAATCAGGAAAGAAAAAGAAGGAAAAGGTATGCATATTGGAGAATAAAACATAAAACTGTTCTATTCATAGATACAGCTCTCTACAAAGAAAAATCCCGAAGAATCTATTTACAGTTACTAGAAACAGTAAGAAAATTTAACAAGATTACAGAATACAAGGTCAATATCCAAAAGCTGATTATGCTAATGTATTCTATAATAAATAATTAGAAATTGAAATTTGAGGGGCGCCTGGGTGGTTCAGTCGGATAGGCATCTGACCCTTGATTTCGGCTCAGGTCATGATCTTATGGTTCCTGAGACTCAGCCCTGCATTGGGCACTATGCTAACAGCGCAGAGCCTGCGCTCTCCCTCTCTCTCTCCCTCTCTGCCCCTTCCCTGCTCATGCACTCTCTCTCTCTCTCTCTCTCTCTCAAAAATAAATAAATTCAAAAAGAAAAGAAACTGAAATTTGAAAAAGTATCATTTGCAACAGCTCCCCCAAAACATGGAAATACTGAGCTATAAATCTAACAGGGTATGTGCCAGACCTGTACTCAGGAACCTACAAAACAATCATAAAAGAAACCAAAGAAGGCCTAAAAACCTTGTTTGTGGATTGGAAGTCACAATATTATGAAGATGTCAATTCCCCACAAAGTGATTTATAGATTCAGTGAAACCCAATACCAAATATTAGCAAGATATTTTGTAAAAATTGGTAATCTAATTCCAAAATTTTTATGGAAAGTTAAAGGCGCGTTCAGGGTGGTATGGCCGTAGACTGACAAAGAAAGATTTGGGAGGACACATATGATGTCTTTCAAGACTTAATGTAAAATTATGCTTTTTAAGGCAATGTGGTTTTGGCAAAAGATTAGACAAATAAGTCAACAGAATAGAATGATGAGTCAAAAAATAGACCCACACTTACGTAGTCAATTGATTTTCAACAAAGGTATAAAGACTGTTCAATGGAGGAAC